GTCGAGCACTTCTTTGCACACAGCCTTCTCCTCGGGCCGAATGCCTGGGTGTAGCCTTGCTCTCTGGAAGGGTCTGAACACCTGTTTGGTTTGTGTTCTGTTTTTGGCTTCTAAAAAAAGCGATTGTACCTGTTTGTTGTTGGTATTGTTGAGGACGTGAACCACACTGGATGTTAGTGAAACATTTGTCATAGAGGAGCCTGATTCCTGTCTCCTTGAACTCACTCCCTCTGTATGCCAGGCCCTGGTGAGATGTGGGACCCACCAGAGAGTGGAGCCAGAGTCCTGTCCTTGGAGAGCTCCCCTTAGTAGCAGGTGAGACAGGTTAGAAACAAACGGGCACAGGGACACGTCAAGCGGTGAAATGCCGGGGAGAAAACTTAGGTAAAGGGCACAGCTGTCCCGGGCTGGGGCAGAGCGGGCCTGGGACCGGCGCAGTGGTGGAAGGACTCGCTCCATGCGAGTGAGCAGAGGGGCGAGCCGATGGGAGGGGTGAGCAGGCCTCGCAGAGGCTTGAGGTGGACAGAGAGGGCTTGTCCCTGTGGAAGAAGAACAAAGAGCCTGAGTGGCTGGAGCACAGAGGGCTCAGAGGTAGCAGGGCTGGAGGGCCTGTGAGTGGAGGCTGAGTGGTCTGGGTTCTGATTGGGTTGTCCTGGCTGCTGTGGAGACAGATTAGGAGACCTGATAGGAGGCTCTGACAGGACCCCAGCAAGAGAAGGTGGTGGTTGGATCGGTGTGGGAGCAGTGGGGGGGAGGGGACTCGATTCTGGGTATTTTTATATTAAAGTATAATTGATGTACCATATTATTAAAGTTACAGGTGTGCAGTATAGTAATTCACAGTGTTAAAGGTTATGCTCCATTTACAGTTACTATGAAATATTGGCTCTACTCCCCACGTTGTATGGTATATCCTTGTAATTAATTTTATACCTAATAGTTTGTAGCTCTTAACCCCCACGCACGTCTTGCCCCCGCTTCCCTCTCCCCACTGGTAACCACTAGTTAGTTCTCTATGTCTGTGAGTTTGCTTCTTTGTTATATTCACTAATTTGTTGTATTTTTTTGAGAGTCCACATTCGGTTCTGGGTATGTTGTGAGGGGAGAGTGGACCAAATGCACTGATGGGCTGGGTAAGGGAGGGGGAGATGGAAGGTGACTCGTGACTACTGACTTGGGCGGATGGGGGTGGAGCCACTCTGTGGTCCGAGCTGCGGAGGAAACGGAGCATCATGACTCAGGCCCTGATACATTTTGTAGTTTGCTTTTCTTTACATGTGAGTCCACGTCAGCATCTTTCACGTGTTTATTCTCTGTTTATATTGGCACAGAGTACTTGTAAATGTAACATTCAGTCTGAATGGCACAGGACCAGGAACCCTTGTTCCTCCAGAAACAAGGCTGTCAGCACTGGGCAGCCCCGAAGGATGCACGGGGCCCTCGGGGCAGGAGCCGCAGGTGGCCGAGTGAGTGCTGGGTGCCCAGAGAGGAGAGGAGACCTTTGCCAGATTTCTCTTCAGGAACTCTCAGTGTCCTTCCTGGAAAAGCTCTGAGTTCGTGGTCAAAGAGCCTGTTCATTTGGGCCGCCCAGGCCTGGCGTTTGGCCTCAGGCAGAGGGTGGTTGCCACTGGGCTCCTGCGGAGAGATGGCCATGCGGAAGCAGCAGCTGAGGCCAGAAGGCTGCCGGGGTACTCGGATCCATCGCGGGGTCTGCATTGTGTGGCAGCTGTGATTTCAGATACGCTGTCCTTTCGTCCCTGTAAGTCAAAAAGCGGGGACAACACTTCATAAGGGTGTCTTAATAAGAGGCTGGCGGGTGTATAGTGTCTGCAAACCCAGAGTCACCAGGTGACAGATGGCAGGTGGGGGACAATCAGGGGTGCTGACCCCAGGGCTTCCTGTGAGCACCTGGGTGCTGCGCATTGCACACAGGATGGCATCTTCTGGCAGGCTCCCCTCGTCCTGGGGTGTCCGAGGTGTCTCTTCTGCCTTGAGTGGACCTGAGGACAGAGGTGCAGGGGTCGGAAAGCTGGCCTGGTGGAAGGGGTGGACCCTTTCCCCAAAGGAGTCCATGTGACCCTCCTCCTGCAGAGCTGGGAGCCAACTCCATGGAGGGCCGTGGTCGGCAGCTGGCTGGTCCTGTCAGGCGTGGAGCCCGCGGGCTGCGCCTGGGCTGAGCAGACAGAGTGAGGGATTCGGTCCTGAGTCCCCCGCGTGGAGCAGCCGCAGTGGGTGGGGGGCTTACCTCAGAGCAGGAGACTGGGGATCATGGTCTTGGGTTTTTCTCCCAAGTAGTAGAATTTAGAGATTTTTCTGTGGCTCAAAGCAAAGTCTTTGAGTTTTTTTTATTGTGAGCGCTTTTGAGCAGAGTAGAAGAGTTGAGAGTTAACCTGCACGCGCCACTCGACTGCCCAGCTGGAGTGTTGTATCGTGTCTGCTTTCTCTGTGTGTATGCGTGTGTTTTCTCTCTGAGCTGTCTGGAAGGATGTTGCAGACGTGATGAAAGTTCACCCCGAACCCTTCAGGCTGCAGGGGCTGCATCTGAGCATGCTCATGCGGTTGGTCGGCATCATGGCCAGGCCATGGGGCCTGTGGCGAGGTCGCAGGTTAGCAGCTGTGCAGACGACCGGCCCCAGTCAGGAGCAGTGGGCTCGCATCCGCGCTCATTCTCTGTGTTAGCATCGCTTCCTTGTTTCTGGCCTCAGTTCAGAATTTGTAAAAATGTGTGGTGCAGGGTTCCAGTTCTGAGAAGAAATGAAGCCAGATCAGCCTATCCGGACACCCCCAGCGGCCTGCACTCAGATTGCTCCTCCGCCCCCAGCATCCAGGACCCTGGACAGTGCTGAACATAGTTTGCATGGTTTTCGGCTTCCTATAATTATTACAGCTTTATTGTTCCCCTCTGTGAACAGGCTGCTGTTAACTCCCTCATAAAGTTGGTAAGTGAGAATGGTAGTTGTGTAAATACCTGGTCCCAGGCTGGCAGGGGGTTGGGGTTCAGTAAGTATTATTTTACTTCTTACCTAATAGGTGTTACAAGACAAAACAATTATAAATGTTAAAATGCTCAGACAGTCAAGTTGGTGGGAAGCAGACCCTCCCACTTGCCCAGCTGTGTCCTCAGAGAATCCTGGGCTCCTTCTGGAGCAGGAGAACATCTCAGGGCCTCAGGGCCCTCCTTCAGGTGCCTGCCAGGAAATGTGGCTGCCACTCCAGCTTTCCTCTCCCCTGCCTCCCAGCCCGGGGCAGTGCCTGGAGGGGACATGGAACAGACAGGCCGGGCTCCAGCTCAGAGCACCTTGTCTCCTCCATCCCGCTGCACCCCTCCTCGCTGCTGGGCTTCAGAGAAGTCATCTGGTTTGGTGGGACTGCCGAGAAACACTTGGGGACAAGGAGGGGAGAATTGGGCAGGGGTGTGACAATTATCTGAGGGCACTTCGTGTTTGTTGGAGCTCGTGTCTAGGCTTTTGTGAGGCTGATAACCTGCCCCAGCTCCTCATCCATGCTCCACAAGGGGCCCTGCCACCCCTTGGGAAATGAGAATTAACAGAGAGCACCTGCCGCCCCTGTCCCGCTGCTGCTTCTGTTCCCTGGCACAGCCGTGCCGGGCGTTCACTCTGCAGGGAGCGGCAGCGGGCCACAGGTGCTGTTGGCCAGGTGGCCTGGGGCCTGCAGAGCCTTGCAGTGGCGCTAGGTGGCACTGCCTCCCAGGGGACTCCAAATAAAGAGGGAGGACTGGAAATTAAGTACCAAATGTGGCTGGAACTTCATTTAGAGTGGGAAAGTAGACCAATCAAAGGGTTTTTGTTTTTCCCAGAAATCATGTTAAGTATTGTCTGGAATCCAGAAGGCATTTCCCTACTGAGGCACGTGGTGGAGGGCAGGTTAGAAGGTGGGGAGGGCTAATCTCAGAGCTGGTTTATGAGTTTTCTAAATACCGATCAGCCAGCCTGAGAGGCTCTGCGTGGGACGTTCCAGGGGCACCCTGGTTAGACGTGCAGTGGCCCGGGTGGTCATCTCACAGTGGAGAGCATTAGCGCTCCAGAGGCTGCTCCACGGATGAGAGCCTGCGCTTTTGATCCACAGACTTGTTTTTCCCTCTCGTGTCTGCCTCGGGCTGGGTTTGGTTGGACGCAATGCAGACTTTGGGGAAGTCAGGACGGTCTCCCCAGCTTTCTGGTTCTGGGATTTAGTGTTGCTAGGATTCTGTGTCAGTATCTTCCTGTGCATGGTCTGAAGTCTCCCTGGGGCCAGGCTAGGGGGCGAAGGTGGCCGGTCAGGCATTTGCCACCCTGTGCACCCCCTGCTCCCGTTGCACATTGTAGGTGTTGATATCTTGGAAGTCCATGAGGTAGGTCACTACCCATCTTCTCCCCTCCCCGCTGTCTCATCCCAGGCCTGTAGCTTGTCACTCGGTGGGGCTGGATCGGACGAGGGGGCAGGTGTGTGGGGCTGTGTCTGGGCAGCACTGTATCCTGTCTAGGATGCCGGCTTAGCTGCCCAGCTCTTCACAAGCCCTGTAGGCTCTCTTCCTGTCCAGATGTTGCTTTAGAAAGTAAATTCCCAGTGGTCAGAAGCAGCTTGAGTTCAGCTGCTGGACCTCCGGATCCCATATGCTTCCTGTGGTTGAGTGGTGGGTGGTGGTGGTGTTCCTGGCCAGACCCTCCCCCTCCCCTAAAACATGTTAGGCTGGTTCATTCCATCCTGTGTTGACCCAGTGCTCTAGGTGGGCGTGGGGGTGGGGTGCTGACGGTGCAGGCTGGGTCCCACCATCTAGTGGGGTAAAAAAATAAGGCGAGAATCACCCCACAGGTTCTGGATCCCAGCAAGAAGCCTACGTGTGGGGGGAGGTGGGGTGGACCTTGTCAACTGGATCTTGTTTGCTGGTCTACCCCAGGGGTTTTTGTGTGTGTGTGTGTGTGTGTGTCAGGGTGTGTGTGGCTGGAGGAGAGGGCGTGGGTGGGGAGCAGCTTTTGTCTTCAGGGTGGGGTGTGGGAAGGAGCCAGGGCTTAGATGCCTTCTGCCACTCTGCGAGGCTAGCAAAGGTGGCTGGAGGTGGCTTTGTGCTCAGTCCAGAGAAGCCAGCCCTCGGTAAGTTCGCAGCACGTGAAGTCCCGGTGATGGAGGGGCTAGTGGGGGTGGGGTGTCCCAGGCCCAGCCCTGCCGAGCATGGCAGGGGGCCCCCAACCCTAGGAGATGGCACCCCAGGAAGTCCGGTGACCGGCAGGACTGGTCGCCTGTTCTCGCAGCCCCCACCCCGGCCCCGCCCCTCCCCTTAAAGGGACTCTGGGCTGGGGGGAGGGGCGCGGCTGACGAGTCTGGCCCGGCCTCCTGCCCCCGCCCCCAGGGCGGCCTGAGTGGCTGGAGCCCGAGCGCCCGCCCGCAGCCAGGCTTCCGCGGCGGCGCCTCCCTGTGAGTCGAGTCGGCGGCGGGCGGCGCGCGGAAGCCGAGCGGGACCAGACCACCTGCCGGTGAGTGAGCGTCCGAGCCGCCCCGCCGCGCGGGTCTGGAAGACCTTCTCGCCGACCCCGGCGGCTGTCCGGCTCCCGGGGTGCAGGTCGCCCCTTACCGCTTAGGGCCCGAGGAGCCCACCCCGCAGCCCTGATTAAGCTGTGGCTTCCCTGGCCCCACACGGGGGTCACGGGGCCGCCGGATGAGCTCACTTCCTCCGCATCCTGTAGCATCTCCTGCCCCACGGCCCGGAAAAGGGAAATGCTGGTATTGCCGGCGGCTCTAACCCTCCTGCGCCGAGAGCTCCGGGCCCATTTCCTCTGTGCTGCCGAAAGGGCCTGGGACGTGCATCAGAGGGGCAGGGAGACTCCTCTATCCTCAGTGGGAACTGGATGAGTTGAGATTGTCACCATGTACCACCCGAGGGCGGGGAGGGGGACACCCTGCCCCCCAGAACCTCATTCCCCGCTAAGGATTGCTGGAGAGAAGGTTTTTTTCCTTGGAGGGATTTAAGAAAGACCCCCTGCCGAGTCCTGTTCCCACCTCCACCGCCCTTGAAAGAGGCACCTCTGGACCCTTCTCTTTGCTTCCTTCCTCTTCTCTTGCAAGGCTTCCTGAAGATGGTTCACCTGGGAAGAATCCATTTTCCTGGGTCACCACTTGTGATGTTTTGTCTGCTTCTAGCCCTGAAACTTGGGGGGAGGGATGGTTGGTGGCCTCACCTGGATACAGCTGCCTGGCCTGCTCTCCAGAGTGGGAGCGAGACAGGCTGGGGACATGTGATTTGGGGGCACTGGGGTTTCTGCTGAGGCTTCAGGCGGGATAAATGGCACCCAGGGCGCTTTCCCCTCAGGGATCAGGAGCAACTCTCAGGCTGTCTTGGACTGGACAGTGCGGGCCTGCAAGGCCTTCGTCCTCGGCAGTGAGGGGTGGGAGGCAATGTTGCAGCACCACTCAAGTGTGACCCGCGGAACAGCACGTCCTGACAGAGGTGACCTGTTGAGCCATCACCTCTGTCATCACTGCCCTGTGGCTTGGGCTCCTCTGCCCTGTTCCTTCCATCTTCCCAGTGGTAGCAAACTTCTGTCCTCCCAGAGTGTGGGTGTGGACAGGGAGGGCAGGCGTGGGGAGCCAGGTCTGAGGGATGAGGCTGCACTAAACTCTTGGGTGGACAAGAGACATGGGCTTTCTGAGCAGAACTTTCTCAGCCATGGTCACAGCTGTGATTTGAGCCTCAAGGCAGGAAAGCAGAAGGAAAGACCCTTCCCATTTCCAGATGAGGAAACAGAGACCAAGAGGGCGCCTGTGACTTGCGAGACCTTTCCTAGCTTTCAGGGCAAGGGTAGGAGGAGGTCAGCCAGGACCACAGTAACCAGTGTCCCTGTGCCCCACCAAAGCCACTCTGAGTTCCTATGTTCCACATGGCTGGCCCTTAGGCCGTGTAATGACTTTAAGGTCCTACTGGTCACAGCACCAAACTCCCCTCCACAGTGTCCCTGAGGAACGGAGGGAGGGATGGTGTCTGCACTTGGCTTCAGGGCACCCTCCTTGCAGACTCATCCAGGCCTGAGCTCCCCAAGTTGGACTCGGAACCAGAGAGGGAGGAAGCTCTGTCTTGGCCTCCAGAGGTCATTGGAGGCTCAGAGGGCACGTGGGGCTCTGAGATGGGGATGCTGGGAGCATTACTGGCTGAGAACGTGGCTCTGCCCTTGAGAAGTGAGAAAGGGGGATCGCCAGGGACCCTCTTCCCTCCATCCTGCAGCTCTGAGCTGGCCAGAGGGTCTGGACCGTTTCCTGGGGGACAGCTGAATTCATGTCTGCTCCTGGGAGGCCTTTTGGGGCCCACCACTGGTGATTGCTGTCAAATTTTAGAAGAGGAGGTGGAGTAGGGACAAGACTAGATTGAGGTTTAAGGACCTCCTGTCCGGCCCCTCAGGGCCATTTTGGAGTGTTTTCTGGATAGCAGCTCCCTGACTGCTGGTCCTCCCTGAGCCCCTCCACTGTGGGAGGAGGGTGAGGCCTGCCCTGCCCTGGTGGGCTGTCTGGTACAGCCAGCCCTCTGGACTGGGGGCCCTGGGGGAGAATGAAGTGCAAAGGCACAGGTGGGAATCTGCCGTGAGGACCTGAGGTTTGGAGCTAAGCTGGGTTTGCCTGTGGGCTCCTGAATGGGCCTTTCTGACCAAAACCTGCAGTGGTCACAGTCCTACCAGTAAGAGAGCGGGGGAAAACTGGCTGGAGGCCTGGGCTCCCGTCCTGGCCCACAAGGCCTCACTTGCCTCCACAGTGTGTGCGCACGGTCTGAGCTTTCTAGAGTCAGGGAAGGAGCCTCGTTCTGGAGCCCAGCACCAGGCTCAACTGCCAGTCACCTGTTTTCCAGGCGAGGGAGGCGGGGGTGGGGCGATGGGAGTTAGCAGGACTTCACCTGGAGTGTCCATGGTGCCTGTGGCCCGGCTCTCTGACAGGAGGAGTCCTGGTGGCCGCTCTCCTGCCACTCAACCAGTGGGTGGGCTGGGGAGATGAGCTGGCAGGGGTGGTCCTGGGCTGGGGCGGAAATCTACTCTAACATCCAAACAGTCTGCCTCATCCTGTTTCCACAGCCACACGCACACAGGGGTCCGGCAGGTGCCAGGCTGGTGGTTTCACCTCCTTAGCCGAGGTGGGTTTGTTGAGGGCATCAGGTCTTCAGCCTGTGCAGGTGGAGCCATGTCTGAGTCTGCCCTGTTCATTGGTGGGCTGGGTCAGTTCTCCATCCTCGGGACCTGCGTATCTGCGGGCCGCTGGGCCTTGCAGAGGCTGGGTGTCCTCACGGGAAGCCTGGGAGCCTTCGGCCAAAGTGCTATTCCTCCCCAGAGAGGTGGGAAGGGCTGGTTTCTCTGAGGTTGCCCAGGTGCTCTCGTCCAAGGAGGCAGGTGTGGGGACTCAGGCTGGAGGAGGGGAGAGTGGGAGCAGGCCAGATGCCGGGGTCTCACCCGCTGCGCCTCTCCCATCTTCCCGCCCCCTCATCCCTCAGATGCTACTCTGTTACCTGAAAGGAAAATGGGTCAGGTCCTGGCAAGGGAGAGGCCGCCCTTGCCGCAGACAGGCCGACGCTGGGCCCGGAGCGTGGGGCTCAGATTCCTGCTCGAGATCCTGTGGCCAGAGGCACCCGGTCCCCAATCTGCCATGAGCGGGCAGCCAGGCTAGGGACACAGCAGGCCGAGGTGGGGGCTGATGCACGGGCCCCGAGCAGGTGTGTGACCGGTGCCTGTTTCTGCAACAGCCCCAACCTCTCCCCTGCACCCTGAGCCTTCGGACCTTACCCAGCCAGGAAGCGGCTCCCCAGCCACCAGGGGCCTGGCGAGGCCAGCCGAGGAGCCGTGACAGCACCAGAGCTCCTGGGGGGGAAGGGAGGAGGAGGAGAGACAAAGGGAAAGAGCCTGGCGCCGCCTCCCTGTGCCGCCCACCATGTGTCAGTCTGAGGCGCGGCGAGGACCTGAGCTCCGCGCGGCGAAATGGTGAGATGCTGCCGGCTGCGTCCGCATCCTAACCCCGCCGCACCCCGCCTCGACCTCCGGAAGGTCAGAGTTCACGTTCAGCGGCCCCGCGGTGGAGGTGGTGGTGGTGGCGGCAGGGGGCCGTGGGGGCCGAGCCCCCCGGC